CAAAACTCCGCATTTGAACAGTCAATAGCAAATACTTAAACTAGTAACAAAACATACTTACAGTAGCTGATTCAGAAGCGCCAGATTGTCATAGCAAAGTCAGAATTACCTCCTAGTTTCACGAAACGGTCGTCCATAAAATGCATTGCTGTTCTGTTGTAAGTAATCTTAAAGATTCCTAAATGCATCTACTTTCGGAAGGCCAAATAAAGTGCTTTTGCTTTCGCACTGAAACACACAGCGTCTCCCTGACATGGCTTCAACATTAACTGCTGTTCCTGAAACCACGCCTTCTTTCTTTGCGTGCACATTTGGGCGGCATTATGCAGATTTTCCACATAGTGAGGTAGATATGTGGGGGCGTGTTAGAACGAGCTGTTTTAGGGGGGCGTGGCAGAGTCTTAACTTTGATAAAGAATATCTCTTTGGTTTTGAGACTTTAGTCTTTGCAACTTCAGGGATCTTATCTATGCACAATCAGCTTGTAACACTCCAAAGAGAAAGGAAAACTTGAAATCGCATCATATGACCCCTTTAAATAAAGACACCAATAAAAAAACTACTAGACCTAAAATCAAAAGCATTACTGTGATATAAAGTACTGTGGCTCCAAAAAGTCACAGTTAAATGTAATGCATTAGGTAAGAAAATATCAAAACAAGTTCCATTTATTTTATTTGAAAAGAAAGTCAAGCACACCTTTCACGCTTCACAAAAAGTTTGGTTTTACAGTAAATTATAATGCAAAAATATTGTAAAAATACTTGATTTTCTGTCAAACATTAATTAAACATGTTCATATTTAATCTTTAATATTAACACCGAACTCTGCACACTTCTTAAATCATTTGGAGGACATTCTCAGTAAGGCAGGACATTAGAATGGAAAAAAGTGGTTTGACCTCTACTTTAATTAGACAGGACTGATGGATGTTTTTCACATTCACACCAAATAAGACTAAAAATGTTCACTCTGAGAGAATCTTGGGCAAACCATGTCAGAATTAATCTTGGTTGATTGAGTTAAGGGCCATGACCTCAGGTTGCAGTCCACAGGCTTTTCCATAAATACACACTTCATTACTGCTAGAGGAGGCAAGCCAAGCCACTGCGCATCAGCATTCACAGAGCTACAGTGCATTACAGACCCTTCCTGCACATGCCCCATCGTAAATAAAAAATACCACCACTCCTGTGGGACCACCCATGCTGTCACTGTCGCATACAGTCTGTACACCTTCAACTTTAACTCTACTTATATATATAATGCACTCTATATGTCACCAAGCCAGCGATGGTGGATGGTGTTAGGGGAGATCTCCATCCTTTATATCTACTTGAAATAAATATTGTTCTGAAATTTTAATTCATGAAAGAATCCTTTAAAATGCATCACAGCTTCCATAAAAAATGTTTCTTGAGCAGCAAATCAGCATTTTAGAATGATTTCTAGGGATCATGTGACACTGAAGACTGGAGTAATTGCCATTGAAAATTCAGAGTTGGCATCACAGAAATAAATTCCATTTTAAAATGTATTCAAATAGTTAAAAATTGTTATCGTACATTTTAATAATATTTCAAATTCAAATAAATGCAGCCTTGGTAAGAGTATGCCTTAAAAAACAAAACAAAAAAATGATGACCTTAAACTTGTGGACGAGTTCTTTAGTGAAGAATCCGAAGTAAGTTTGGAAGTTCTGAATTAACTAATTAATGATAATTAATCGGAATTTCCAAGGTATAAGAGACAAAGTGGAGATTTTCAAAGTGGAGTATATTGCTGGATTATCGATTCATTTCATGCAAAAAAAAAAAAAAAATGCAAACAATGTGATGTAAGACAGCAATGACAGACCTAGCAGCTTGAAGCAGGAAAAAACTATGGTTTTGAAAACCGCTGAACTACTGAAAAAAGTTAGTGTCATCATTATCTTTAGTTACTCTGATAAAACACTGATTTTAAACATAAAGGAACAATTTCAGACCTGTAAGTTTAAATTCCTTCACTTTTTGGATTCAAGCACTGGCAACAAGTGTAGCGTCAGAATTCCCTTGTTTCCCCATCTGGCTGATTGAGCAATAGAAATAATAGAGGCTCTGAGGTCACTCTCCAACCATACGGTTCACACGATAAGAACTTGTGTTGAGGTTTGTTTTCACATGCTGAACTGTTGAAATATATCTGAAAAAAAAACAAAAAAAAACTATAGTCCATTTTGTGTATCAATCACCCCAAAATCACAAAGACAAACATTCACAGTAAATTAAAGAAACATTTTCTCGAGTGAAACAAAATTTTGATAATAAAGCAACAACAATGTGTCTGTTTCAGGAAAGCAAATGTTTCCCATCATAAATGATGTAAGTGATTTTCTCCATATGTGATTTTGGTTTGGCTACAATTATGATTCTGCAAAGCATTCCGATGGTTTTCAACAAGATGCCAAGAGATGTGGGTCTGTACTAGTTACAGTAAAGGGGCGGAGCCAATAAATGGACACTTATTCTGGTTTGCATTTTATTTTCCTTTAATTAGCTATTTTAATATTACATTTAATAGGCTATTACATTGACATGAATGGACACATGTGCTCTCGACAACAAGAACTGCCTGATGGCCTGAGGCCAGATTGAATGCTTTTCAATCTACAAATCGCCGTCATTTACCATAGATTTACTGTAATAACACTAACTGCACCATGGTATTGTGGCAAAAATGCAGAATATTCATATAGAATTTGATTATATTATTAGACGTATTAAATGTATTAAAGGAGTAATGGAATATAATGTAAGAAGTGTAATTAGACTACTGTTTTTCATACAAATACCTAGAAACCATATAGTTACATTTTTACAGTGGTATAGAGGTGTTATGTGTGTATTTTTTAACTGTGGTTATCAAACAGTCAGAATAATTAAATTTCACCATATAAAAATTAGGTTGTATAATTTTTACAGATGTTACCGTTTTTGATAACAAACTTCAATTTACATCTGCATCCTATCTCAAGCTACTGTCAAATGTGCATTTCTAAGAGACAAAAAATACTGTTACATTTATCATTTTTGTAATATTAATATTGCAGCCTGCACTGCAAACTGTGCTGAAGATATGTTTCATCAAAATCAAGCAACACAAACCTGTTTCATGATTTGAAAGAATATCACTCATTAGAACATGCAGAAACTATGAAATGAATTTTTCTATTAAGATATTTATTTTAAGGAAGAAAAAAAAAGAATTCAAAAACGTGAAGTTTTTGTCATGTTCTGACCATAAAGAGTAGTTTAAAACCAAAATTAATGGTCTGGTTTCTACAACCTTCACTCAGGATAAAAAAATCTGCCCTTAAACTTGAAAGAAATAAAGATTTGAAATTTATCGTGATAATTCTTTTGGCCATATCGCCCAGCCCTACTTCTTTCTGACAAAAATGGTAATTTAGTTTTTAGGTTTTTGTTGTAGTAGAGGTTAAAACATTATTCACAGCACATGAAATTGACTTTAGCTGAGTGAAAAGCAGACATTCCTCAATCCCTGCCAAGAGTTCAGACGGGACCTCATGTAGTGTGTTAAAAATGACAGCATCAGCATTTCCCCATTAAAGTGTCGTGACCCCAGAACCACAGGGGCCCTTCTCTCAGCCTTGCTCTCGCTCTGCCTCCTTATGTTTTCTTTGTTTCTACACTCTGTTCAGCGGTTATGGCTTTTGCTTCAGGATTAAAGGCAGAATTCCACAGACACTGTAATGATGTCTACATTAGAATCTACAGGCCCGCAGGCATCTTGCCATATGTGTCAAACTCTGACTACCACTTACATTTGCCATGAATGCCCAAGTGATCTACTTAATATCGCCTTGTGTGTATTTAAACTCTGCTTTCCTGTCACATTTCGACACATCAGACCATATTTTACTTATTGAGGAAAGATTGATTAGTTATTTGGAGTCAGACACACTGTAGTCAAGATCAACAGGGCAAATGTAACGTTTTCAGCTGTTAATTTCCCCACACTGTGGACTTCCGTTTCAGAAAAGCGCACAGAAAATAAGTATTACCACTTTTCAGCGTCTCTTGGTGCGAGCAGCACCTGCAAAATATGTCACAGAAATGTACTGGAAAGGACTATTAACTAGTCTGTTAAGAACATATCCTTCCGCCCATATCCCAGTCTACACTCATGCACTGCACTTACATCATATCTCTTGACTGGATGCCTTCTCTTTAGCTATAGCCTGTTTAATACACACAAAACCTGCATTACCCTGTCGTTTCATGCCAGCCATTTTAATTAGAGGGATGTCTGATCTCTTAGCATGTGCCTGCTTACTGGCTCTTTGCCTAACTGCAATTAATTACTGGTGTGCCTGCTCAAACGATCTGGCAGCCAGATAACAATTTCTCAGTGAGAATCTGCAGGGATTTCCTCTCCTCCGTTTGATCCTGCAACTGGGGTTTGCACGCCACTTAAAGGAATAGTTCACCCAAAAATGAAAATGTGATGTTTATCTGCTTACCCCCAGGGCATCCAAGATGTAGGTGACTTTGTTTCTTCAGTAGAACACAAATGATGATTTTTAACTCCAACCGTTGCAGTCTGTCAGTCGTATAATGCATGGCAATGTTAACAAAATCTATGAGAGTAAAAAAAACATGCACAGACAAATCCAAATTAAACCCTGCAGCTCGTGACGACACATTGATGTCCTAAGACACGAAACGATCGGTTTGTGCAAGAAACCGAACAGTATTTATATCATTTTTTACCTCTAATCCACCACTATGTCCAACTTCCTTCAGCGCGCGCACGCATCCGGTGCTTGAGGTGTGTACGCGCTCTGGCGTAGTTTACGCAAGCGCTGGAAGTGATCTCTCGCGCGTATACGTCACTCATTGGTTACACAGGTTGGATTTAAAAATCATAATTTGTGTTCTACTGAAGAAACAAAGTCACCTACATCTTGGATGCCCTGGGGGTAAGCAGATAAACATCACATTTTCATTTTTGGGTGAACTATCCCTTTAACGCCATTTTCCTGGGAGTAGCAGGTGAGAGAAGTGGGTTATCAGAGCGCTGAGGACAACCTCTTTCAGATCTTGACAAATGTGTATGACTGCAAATAAATGGATAAACATTACATTTTTTCCCCATTAAAGTATACAGACTGCTGGTGTGGACCTGAGTTCACAAAACTGGTTTCATAACAACCAAATGCATGTTGTCAGACTTAAAAATCTAGTGTAAAAATACTCGAGAAAACCCCTGTAAACTCAATTCCACATCCGAGTAAACACGTTAAAATCTAAAAAAATGTTGCTGTTCATTTTGTTGCATTAAACTGCATTCAGAAAATACAAATAAAGCTCAAGACAAAAGAAACAAAAATACATGTCATGAAAACATGGCATTAAAATGCACGGCACGAAATTAGATATAGCTAATTATAAAAATCATCATAAAAATAGCCACCTAGTCGGAAATGAGACATACCAATTGGAACAAAGAAGGTGACAAATCTATATTTAAAATTTATTAGACCGCAAAGGTAGAGAATATCTGCTGAACTGTATGTCTGTACATTACAGACATACACTGTAATTGTTACTTTTCTCCACTGACACTGAGCAGTATTTTCAATCAATCAGTGTATAACATCAGCTAATAGTGACTGCACTGCTTCTATGACCAGCACAATAAGAGCATTGGGTTTTTATAGTGAAGCTTAAACCGAGGGATTGGAGAGAAGTGCCTCATTGTAATCTTTATAATATTACATAGTCCATTACCCTCAATCCTCATGCTTTTATTCATGTGGGGAAACAGGAGGATGAAGGGACAGGGAGAGAGGGAGCTAACAAAAAATGGGTTAAAAGTACAGTAATCCCCTTACATATATGTTGTACAATAGCCCTGATTTTCTGCACGATATTCTGTATTTACATAGTAGCTGTGCATTTGCTCGTCCTCAATGCCCCTCACCAGCCCTCAGTGCTGAAGTTCTGCATCTTGCATTAGAATGTGCGTAAAGTTCACCGAACTGTTCAGAGGCTACATGCATGTGATTTTTTTGGGGGCTTTTCTCATGAATTCACATTCCTACTTATAGCTTAAACTCTAAAGGATAACTAAAAGAGTTTTGCCATGTCTACAAACAAGACAAAATTGACCTACTGAAAAATAAAAAACAAAAGTGACTAGAAAATGGCTTAAAAATATTAAAATAGAACACAGTTATTATATTCTGTAATAATTGACTATTTCTGTTGTATTTTGATCAAATAACTGCAGCCTTGGTGAGAATGAAAGACTTACATTTTAATAAAATAAAAAAAAACATTTTAAATAACCTTATTTACCCCAAACAAATGATAGATTATTTACAGTTTGTGATAATGCATGTGTCATGCAAGGTGAACTGGCAAAAAGGCCTAGCAATCTATATTTGATTGCAGAAAGATATTTTCAAATATTTCTATGTAGGCATCATCTTAGACAACTGCAGACAGAAAAGTTAAATCTAGAAATAAATCTAGAAATATCTGACCCATAGTATGATTGTTATGCACCCAAGTAATAGCTGGATCTCCAAAATAACTGACCTGAAACTCTCTCATGCTACTCCAATCAGAATAATGAGCAGCGCAGTGGTTCAAGCCATTGAACTGATTAGATGTTTTGCTGTTGTTCTCATTAAACCACATATACTGTATCCAATGAAGCCTCACGTAAGCATGGATTGGCCTTAAAGATTTTTATAACAACTGCCCTGAGGGCTGTTATTTTTATCAGACGTATTACTGCTATTCATATCAGTCATAAAATGCATTTAGCTCCTTGAACAAACATTGTTTTTATTATGGAGATTGATGTGAGCTGAATCTATGTACTAAACATATCAAGAGATTAGCTGAAGTCAGCTCAAGCAGTTGTGGTCAGGCACACACTCACAGTAGAGTTTGCTATGGCATCGTTTCCTGCGTCACCTTTGGTCAACAGCGTCATTAATTAACTTAAGAGGAACAGTCTGTTTTTCCACACTATAGCCAAACCGGAAAAACGCTTCACTGATCCTTCCCTTCCTGGACGCTGTTTCCCAACCCTGGTGACTTCCCTTTTTTTTTATAATTAACACAAATTTCCGTATTCGGTTTTTCATTGTTAAAAGCTCACTTGGG